TGTCAACGTAAATTAGCGGTGTGTCTAGCTGGGTAATATCGCTCGGAGAAATACCTAAAAAAGATTTTACTTGAGCCGAAGGAACTAGACTTTTATATTTCTCTTTTAAATTATGGTAAGTTTGCTGAACCACTACTTTATTACAACTTAGTCAGAAAATAAGGGGCTGAATTTCGGGATAATAAGTTAAAAGATTGCTGACAGTTTGGGCCAGAATAGCGGTCTTTCCGCTACCGGTAACGCTCGATAATAATTTCAAAAAAGGGACAGTTTGATCTTTAATTTTAAGCGAATTTCGCCGGTAATCAAGATATTTTTCAGTTAACTGGTCGGCTGCTTGGCGCTGATAATCATGCAGTTCAGAAGGGGTTATTTGACTCATGAGGGCTTAATTTTGCGAGTTTTTAGCCCGGCTTCGGGACTAATTCCAAACTCTAATAATAAATGATCGGGGATTTTATGGAAACTAACTGGACGAGGGGAATAGACTTGGGTGCGGGCATAAATGTGATAAATAGGGACTAATTTATTATCTTTACCTTCTAATGCACATTGCCGGTAAACTTTTTCGGTAAGTTGGCTCTCACGAAGGGGGCTGCCGTTTCAGATTAGATAAATTCCTTCGTTTTGTTGGTTTTTAGCAATCAAGTAGCAGTTATTGGGTAAAGGAACCGCCCCTAATTGAGTAGATAAAATGGTTTCGGCTAATTCTTCCCGTTCCATTTCTAAAATAGTTTGGGAGTTGATTTGTTTAGTTAATTTGGAGTATTTAAAACTTCCTGGTAGTGGTTCATGTTCTTTGCCGTCGGCTCATTTTCCTGTGATAGCGGCTTTTAGGCGAGGATAGAGTAAAGTTTTAGCAAAAGTGTCTCCGTTTTTAGGGTTGCCTTGCTCTATTAGGATAAAGGAGCGACTAGTTTTTTCAGTTCGGTTTAGTTGGAAAACTGTGTGTCCGGTAGTTCCTGAGCCAGCAAAAGGGTCAAGAATTAGGCCATTTGAAGGACATCAGAGTTGAATAATTTTAGTAAATAGTTTTAAAGGCTTGACACCAATAAACTTGTTATCGCTGGAACCAACAATAGCATTTAACTCCCTCACTCCGGCTTGGCTGTGGCCTGCTTCCTTAAAAGATAAGGAGATACTTCTTAATAAAGAAAAATCCTCACTAGCTCAGTAAGTAGTAGGAACTACTCCGCTAACATCTTTTAAATACCTTTTCGTTGCTAATTGACCTTTGCCATCTTTGCCAAAAATAAGTTTAGGTCATTGACCTCTTTTGTAAATAGTTTGTGCTATCTTACTTGCTTTTTGGACCACCAGGTCAGTTTGGGGGTTATTTTTTTGGGGGTCTTTGGCTCCTTTTAAAACTAATGCTTTGCTATAACCATCTTTTAAGTCCTTTTCTTCGTATTCCGAGCCTCATTCTTCTAATAAAGTTCTAATTTCGGCCTTTTTTATCCTCCACGTGCACGTGGATGGGGGATAAAAAAGGCCGCCAGTGAACGGGTTTTGAATGGCGTAGACCGCGGATTTTGAACTAGTGGCGACGCTAGCATCGCTAGCCCTTCAAAGTCCCTGAGGGTCACCATCAGGATTTTTATACAACTTATTCTGTTTTTCACTTCTCTCTAGTCTTCCTGTTTTAACCTTTTCTTTATTTTTAGCATAGACTAACACATATTCAGTAGCAGAAGATACATGTTTGCCTTGACTTTTTGGAGCATAAGCCTTTTGTCAGTTAATAATCGCAACTCTATTCTCCTCACCAAAAGTTTCATCTAACATTTTTCCTAAATTAAACAATTCTCGATAATCAATACATATCGCTAATACTCCACTATCTTTCAACATCTCTTTCATCAAAATTAATCGAGGCAACATAAATTTCATTCATTTGGTATGTTTAGCCGGGTCATCAGTTTTAATTAAATCTCCTAACTCTTCATCATTAGGTAATTTAGTTTGTTTATCATTATAACGAAAATCTTTACCGGTATTATAAGGAGGATCAGTTAAAATCAAATCTACTTTATTCCGGCATTGATAAAGAGAAGCGAGAGCATGTAAATTATCACCTTCGAGAACGAGATTAGAAGAATTATTAGGATTAAAAGAATAACGAGGAAGTTCTTTTAAAATACGGGGATTAATTTTGCGAATTATCTGTTTAGCAATATCTTTATCCGGGAAAATTATTTTAATTCCTCCTCCTTCGGTAATGGCTTCTAATTGAGCCTTTAAGCGAGAGTTTTCGGCTAGTAATTTTTCCCAAGAAGTAGATTGAGA